TGTGTCCAGGCATTTTATATGTTATCGTATTATTTGATTTTAATGTTGTCCACCTCACAAACGGCTTCAATCTCCACGAAAATTAACTGGGGTTAAAAGTTTTTTTTTTCAAATTTCAATTAGGATATTAGCTATGAGATAAGGTGGCAATCTCATTTTCTAAATTTTGAAGACTTATGAGGCATCCCTATGACGACAACATAGGCATACTTCACTCTCATCCACTGCTCGTGTTGTACGTTCATAATTTCTGGAGAATACGTAGAGTAAATTTAATTCCTATTGCTTGCATGTTTATTTTATCATCATCATCTGTGGTGTTTCGGCCCGTTTTCGGGCCATGACCTCCCTATGTTTATTGTATAACAGATTTTATTACAATTACGATTTACAGCGTGATGTCACATAGGCTAATAATTCATGCAAATATAATTCAAGTGAGATTTGAGGTTCTCACGGCGTCGGGTATGAATATAGCTATGTTGTAGGTTGTTGAGCCGTGTGGTATGGTAGACGTTTATCGACGTTACAGCCCAGAAGAAAGGCCTCTTCATCACTAATATCGTTTTGCTTGAAAGTTATCGTAATGCACTCGCCCTTTTGTTGAAGCTTTCCCAGAAAATGATTCTTGTAGTCAATACGGATTTCTACTTCCATGAAATTTACGTCACACTGTAACATGAATAGATTTTAACGGTCCCGGGGGCGGAGAATTCATGACAAGTGAATATCCGTGAGATAGCGTGGGACATGCCCATTGTTAATGTATTATTCTCCATCAAAACTTCCAAGAATTTTATTTCGTGTTCAGAAACTCTCAGACATTTCAGCAACTTATTGAGTAATGTTTACTTATATTTATATTGGCTGTGAATGTCACTGCTGACGTCATAACCAAATCCCGTAATCGTTCTTTATCTCGTAAAGTGACTCCATGGTGCACACCCACTTTGAGCATATCATTAAGATATTGTTTGTCGATGTTGGTCTTCTGGGTTGTGATGCCGTGTGGTCTTGTAGGTAGTAACTTTTGCCTCGAAGATGGAGGCTGTTGGTATCCACCTAAAAGTTCACACGACTGAGTTCTGTGGTCCTTCATTAAATTATATTCAGTTTAAGTACAGGCCAACAGATGAATTAATGTGAGATTGGAAACGGATACGAATGCGAGTTTGATACGTCATCTGTTTGTTACGGCGAATATGATGATTCCAGCATGTTCCTCAACCTGAAATTTTGCCAAGGGAATTATAAGTGAAACAACGAAATGTCACGTTTCGGGTAAGAAATTAAACCCATCTTGAAGAAAAAGTAGCGACAGTAGTGACGTGGAATTATTCAATTCCCCATTGAATTTCAAATTCCAGACATTATTACAGAGCCATGAATTGCCTGGATATTAGTTTTGCGTGCCGGTTTTATATGAGTTTTTCCAAGCACAGATTGTGGGGAGAAGAGTCCAGTAGCGGCCGTGAATTGCAGGAGTGAAATTCAATATCGATATCAATTTTTCTCACAGCGAAATTCATAAAAAGTATTTCTGCCTCAATGACAGGTCTTATTACTATTCTACTTATGACTGATTTTGGCTCATTAATTAAGTTTCTCGACCGAAAGATATGTCATTAAGTGAAACAAGAAGTTCTATGAAGAAATAATACTCGAACTTTCCTTCAAATGCTTCCTTTTATGTGGAATGCTAGCAGAGATTGTCCATTCCTGCACGCGATTTTTAATAATACTGATTCCCATTACATTAAATCCGTCAGAAAAAAACAGAGCGTTTGTCACCGTCTCTATGCTTGTAATTACAACGCATAAATTTTCATACAAAATTTCCACAGTTATAATCAATCTCCGTATTTTTGCATGTCTAACTCAATGGTTCAGTGGTTATCTTCATCAGTTGGAACGCTGAATGTAAGATAGATTTCACACTGCAATAGTTCATGGGAAGTGATCACATGGAAGACCTAAGATAATATTAAAATATATCGTATAGAAAAGATCATGATGGTATAATCAGAAGTCAGCCGACTCACTGTGGGGTCTAATTACGGATTTTGCGAACACATTCTGGGCCTGTAAAGAGGGAAATTTCTTGTCCAGCTTAATACTGTCAGCTTTACAAGGAGTAATTTATTTTCTGATAAAAGGGCTATCCAGTGATAAACTGTCGTAAATACGTACAGGCGTAAGCAACTGAGAAGGCACTTTTCGTGTTTGTAACAGGTAAAATTCTTGCTTTGATCAAGAGCAATTATGTGAGCTGTGTAGGATTGGAGGTAAATACCCAGGCGTACTCAACATTCGTGGGCTGCTAGATGGAACTAGGTCTTCGGGCTCACTCTTAGGTTACTCTTCTCCCCACAGATGATAAATGCCTGAGCCCCACAGCTGATATCCACTTCCCAACGAAGAAAAAGTTTTTGCTGTTGCCAGGAATCGAAATTCGGCCTTCTGTCTCGTAGCCATCATATTTTTCCTGGCAGTTTTTATCTGGCTAAAATTTTTATTTTAAAAAGCCTCGTTATTCTCGCATGTATACATGGCACGGACTTGTACAGTGGCTATCGAGTGTCTATCGTATCTTCTCTTTTGTGTGCATTAGAACAGCCAGTTTGTTAACACCCTTTATGGTCAGTGGAGATTTTTCTCGTGGTCTTGACAAGACAAGAGATGTGTTTGCATTAAACATTATCATGAGTGACACTTCAGTGGATGGTGGTTAATTACGTTCCAACAGTGCTGTCAGTGTGCAAGATGTATGCTAATGGGAGTGATTGACAACAGAGTGTGTTTTATGTCTATAACAGAATTTGCTAGAAATTGTCATGGAGAAGTATGGTATGTTTTGAAAAACTTATTTTGAGCGAGATATAGAAGAGGACACGTACATGAAATTCACTTACATCATGAAGATGAACGAAAACTTTATCACAACGCGCCTATATGAACTATTTGCCATATATTATTGAAATCCTGACGATTCTCTGAATGTCCTTCATAAGACAAACCATTTTCTAGAATCTTCATAAAATGGTGACGTATAGACTCTCCAAGAAAGCTGTATGAGTACATGTTTATTGCTATTATTGTTTAGTGTCTGTTAGAAATGAGCGTCTTACAACAGACACCTACTAATTTACTTGTATGATGTTATAGAGTACGAATTATGTTAATGTGGTTCTATGTACAATACAAGTATTGTAATTGTAATGGGTAATATATAACAAAAATATTAACTTATGTAGGAAGTATCTATTTTTACTGACTTTTTAAATGAATGTATGTAGTATTTGGTGTCTGTAAATGTTTCACACTGCTATGAATTTTCTTTGGTATAACTTCAACGAAATAATTATTGACACTACGTAGGTATCCTGTGTGTTTCAGTGCTAAATTAGTTTTTTGCCTATATTTTATTTATTTGTGGGGTGGGACTTTTATTATTCTACTTTGTTTTGTACAGAAATTTCTCAGATAGTTCGTTTTTATTTCATGTTAGGGTCATTTTGGTTTGTTATTATTATTAAATTGGATTATTGTTATTATTATTGAACTGCTTTATAATTATTTATTAAAATTACATTAATAAAACTTCGTGTGGGCAGTGAGTTCTTACATTTCTTACAATTTTTAAAGCTCAGTCTCCCTACGGCACCATGTACGTGTAGTCTCAGTAATCCAGAATAAGAGAACGAACGAAACATTATTCATGGTTTTAAATTAGAATAAGGACGAATACTCGAGATGAGACGCTTCACTCAGTGTCAACATAATACACCGATATTGCTGCTCTATACAAAGCACTGGTTTACTGGAAAAAGGGTCTCTCTGCACAAGAATGTCAAGCGAGTGAAGCAGAAATCAAGCGAAGCGGTGACTTTGAATTTCACCTCCTGCTGACATTTTATTCTGTACCACAGCTTTTGAAGTCTGTTTAACAAATTCCAGCAGAAATCCGCAGGCTAAAATTGATGTTTGTTGTTGACTTATGTCACGATACGTCTTTGCAAAGTTTCTTTTCCAACGTGTACCAATATTATGGTAGTGGTGGCGTTCTTCATAACGCTTTCTGGTGAAAGAAGTCAATTTCTCTTTGTCTGATGCTCTAGATAGCAACGAAGAGAAAGTAAGAGCCTTACTCGGGCCTCCGAGAACTAGGTATATTTTTTATTCTTTGTGAAGTTTCTCTTGACAATGCAACTGATTTTTTGAACATCGGGTGGGAACTGGTTTTGTGCCGCCTTATTAATATTACCCTATTCTGGAGACGTAGTACGCAGAACTTTGTAACGTCCTGTGCCTCACGCATCAATAAATTTCCCGGTTTATTGCTAGGAGGGGAAAACCTTTGCTTTTTAAAAATAGGTTCCTGTGTAAGATCTAGCTGCTGAAATCATATTTCCTTCAATTCAATAAATTTCGTGTGTGCTGGGTGTTGGCTGTGCTAGCTATGGGCGCCGGGCCAATCTCAACATCGGCCAACCGTGAAAAATATTAGCTCCCTCCTAGCTAGTTACCTACCCTATCTCTAGGCTACTTTTGCTAGAATTCAAGTGAAAACTTGAGGTACTACAAGACCGTCATAAATACATGGCCACACATAAAGTACGGTAAACTCCTTACGTAAAGTCTCTTAATGTACTAAGTACAGTGATGGCAGTGCAGGATGAATCATTTGCTAAGCACGTGGTTAGAATAGAGTTTGATTAGTGGCTTGTTTTGTGACGCTCTATCAACTGCTGGTTTTGAAGAAAGCGTGTAGAAAGAAAGTGCTGGGGTTTATGTTTCACAGTTCTGTGCTTTTAATTTGTTCGAATTTCAGGTATTTCGTTTGAGGGTTTTCGAAGTGTACTTGCATATACGTTTAAATAGAATATTATCGGAAAAATGTAAAGGTTGTTCGTGGTACAAAATTTAAGTCTACATACATTTTACAAATTGCGTATTTTACCTCATGACCTTACATGAAATGTTTCTGTAATTTCTTACAGACTAAGGAGGAAGCGACAGGTTCAGGTTCCGTATTCATCAGGTGGGACTGAGGAAAATTACGAAAGACCCGTACGCACCGTTCACATGGTAAGGCGAATTTTTATATCGATGTAAATGTAATGAATGAGTTTTAAGTAAGTTTGTTTTTGAAACGTTCCAGAAAATGGATGGAAGAATGTGTACTATGCGGTGTTTGGGTTAATGCGATTCTATGCAGTGCGTCACTTATTTTTATATTTTACGATAGTGTCAGTATTTCCGACTGTAGAGCGTCAAATGAGAGGATTATTAATGAATGATGAATTGGAAGATATCTACTTCAATAGCAATTTTTCTTGTTGGTTTATGTAATTAGAAAGGGTCACATCTGAGAACAAGCGACATTTCGTAAGATTTGTATCTGACAATTTTCTTCCTTGAGGAGAATGTATTTCTACCTGTAATACAGTTTGGTTAGTTTGCTACTATTTGTTATTCATTTTATTTATTCCGAAGGATGTGAAATAATCTCGATTCTCATATTGTCTCTAGCAGTACGTAACAGTACCATGCCTGCTGTTGACTTTAAAATCCTACCGCAAAATATAAATTTCCCAGGTAAAAACTGTCAAGTACAGAATGTTGTAGGAGCAGATGTAAAATAAAATTTAACTACAGCTTTTTGTGCACGTTTCATATCCTATGGTAATTTGTAATTTCTGAATAAGTATTGTTAAAGATCGCGAAAACTGGCATTTTGGTTTTAAAAATAGTGTCATGAAGTGGTTCTTGGTCCCAACGAGAACACCTCTGTTGACTCGAGGGAAGAAAGAGTCGATCCACCTCGCCCTAATAGAGTGAAATTCTCACCAAAACATTATTTTTGAAACTTGAAAACAATGATGCCTACATGAAGGCTTAATCTAAGATCAAAAAGCTTAGGTTATAAGTCTCAGGCAGCAGCTTGTTCCAAAGATGTGAGTAATGGATATTTGTATGCAGGTAAACGTCTATGTGTGAACTAGTCTTCCATTTTCTCAATCTTCATCATTCTTCTTTTCGATCTTCATCTCTCTTTCTCTTTTATCGACAGTAAATTTTCTCGAAACACGAAGAAACTGAATTTCTATTGGTTCACTTTCTGTCAGACCGCAATTGATCCGTGTTACCTCCGTTGTTGCTACCTTTCCAACCCTGTCTGCCCCTTCTCATAATGTTAAAGAACGTACCGTTGTCGGTCGAAAATAGCGGGATTTTTTGTTGCACTGTAGAATAACACGTGAAGGATGAAAGATACGTTTACGAGCCTACTTCATGTTCCGTTCTTATGATTTCTAGCTTTCTGTCAATAGAAAGAGATTGCTGTTTGTAGGAATATATGAAGCTAAATTACAACTTTTTAGAATATAAAAGATTAAAAAATTACGAATATGTGATCAAGTGGCAACAGATCAGTGCCACTTAGAGATCACTGCTAAGATAAATTTCGGCAGGAGAAAGTGCAGGTGAATTAGACGTATCCGAGTTTAATAAAAGACCACGATTAAAAGTTAATTATATGAAGCATAATTTCAGAATCCTAGGGGACTTCTCGGAAATCTTTCATGCAATATTTATTGGTATTAATCTGCAGAAACGACTGACGATTTGAGGGGGCAATGCGTCCTGTGACGAAACTTTCAGTTAGTGCAAGTCTGTTCTGGGTTGTTGCGCCGTGTAGTTTGGTAGAAGTTTACTGACGATTTATTTGCTGCGGTAAACTTCTACCAGTCTACACGGGAAGACAGCCATCTTCAGACCTCAAATCCTACCTATTCTCTTTTACCCGACTGTATGTATTGTTTGGAATATGCTATTTATTCAATCACTCGTTGTCAGAGAAATTAGTTAATTAGTATTTAAACCCTACTGATTTATGTCAGGTTATAACTGTATATGTTACTTAGTGTCATATGAAATGGAAAAATAATGATTTCTGAGTATGTAAGAATTTGAAAAGTGAAGCCCTGCTTGATGTTACTATCCCAGCATTTGCTTTGAGGTACTAAGGTAAATTACAAGAAGTCTTAGTACAGTAATTCAACTTTCTGCATCGCATTGTTCTGCACTAGAAGACAAGTGAAGAAGTTACTTCACCACCCGCTGTTTCCAACGGCACCTCAGACAGAAATGACACCATATCTCTGTGTTCCTTCCCCTATCCTTACTGTATTCAGTGTCGTGGTCAGCAAATACGAATATCGACAGCTCTTCCCCCATGAATCTGCTGCTCTCCCCATTTTCCGTTTATTGGAGATTCTGTTTTTGTATTCGCTCCATTTTATAGCATTTCTTTCGGAAATTGAAGAGTTCTTTGGCCACATTATATTTAAAATATGTTTAGAGTTTGTCTTATTATAGAATCAGCTTCGGCTGTCCTCTGCTCTTGCCCTACAGAATGAATGCCGACTACCCATAATACCGTACGTGTAAGTTTTGAATTTATTGTACTTTAGGTTTTAGAATTTCAATAATTAAATTAACATAATGTATAATTAATCAGATGATCGCAGTTGAACGAATGTACAAGTCATCATCCTTTTGTCTTCAGAGATTAGGGAATTCAGTGTCTGTATTGGCCACGGCATCCGGGTTTGTGCTTCTGTTTGCTTTTTTCGAATTTTTCTCTCTTGTAGTATGTATTAATTCCTTAAATGCATTACCGATAACATTTGAGATTCTGACGGCGTCGAGTATGAATATGGCTACCTTCACGGTTGTAGCGCAATGCAGTATTTCGTTCTGATGATGTAGACAGCAAGTACCTTTGAAACATCACAGAAGACGGCAATGTTCATCTGTATTGCTGATGTTCCGTTTCTCCTTATTTCAGAATTGTTCTTACCCGACCTTGTATTTGAAACTCAAAACCTCAGGATTTTCATTTCTGCCAGTTACATTTTTTTTCTCTGAAATCACGTGCGCATGTCTAACTACCCTGTTTTACCATTGCTTTAATTCAAATGAGTACACTTAAAGATTTTTTTTCCCAAAGTTTTTTTTTACATTCTTTCATTGGCCTGTATAAATATTTGACTTCTATTTTTTTTTTGAGATTTCTCTCGCCATCTGGACTTATTCTTTAAATCTCTAAAATAGCATATTTTTTTTTAATAATATTAAACGATATGAAAGTTTAGCATCAAGAGCGCAAACAATATCCCTGACCAATATATGACACACATTGTATGTTATAGATACACACGTACGAGCGAATATTAATATTTCAATAAGAAGAGAAAAAGCTGGCGATATTGGAATCATAAATTTTTAAAACCTCGTGAGTTGGAAGAACAGGGAGGGATGTTATGAAAGACGCAGGCTTCTGCAGTATTGCACTGCATGCAGCCCTTCAGGAAGATGCGGAAGTTTGCAGATTTGTGTGACGTCAGCTCGAGGTAGATGGTAATCTGTTATGGGCAAAAGGTTCCAGGGTGTTTAGGTTTTCCACTCGATTTCTGTCGGTTGTGCGGTGGCTATTTTCTGTACCTTTTGTCAAGAATGTTGACATTGATTTAATGTTGTTCTGTCATAAAAGATTCATTTTATATAGGCCTATGATTGGTGTTGAACTGTTTTTGTTTCTAATTTTTAAGGTAAATTTAGGTTACTAAGTTAATAGAAGCAGATCTGCGTGTTATTTTGTCTTATTTTATTTATTATTTATTTATTTAGTGTTCTGTCTGACGACAGGTCCATATGAACAGGATCCTTCCATCCTTTTCTCGGATTGGGACCTGTTCATATACGTTCTTGGCAGATGATCCAGAAGTGGTTTGCCATTGCCTTCTTCTGTGTGTGAATGGAGTAATTGTTGGGATGCCACGGACGAAAACTCCGTG